CCCTAGGTAGAGACAAATGTTCTGTTTGTTGGTTCAACAAGCCGGCCTCAGGTGAACTCCAGGGTTTGATTTACTCTGACGGGTCCGCGGTCCATCCCACCTGCGAGTTTAAGAGACGTGCGGGGTGGAGCCTCGTGCAGGTGAACGACCAAGGGGATGTTCTGTGTGCTGCCTTTGGGCCCGTACCCAGGGAGGTAGCGCCTAGCCAGCAGGCTAGGGATGGTGAAGACTATGCCTACAGGATGGCGGCTGACCTTGTGGACCCGTTTTCCGATTTTGAGATTTGCACCGACTGTTCAGGGACCCTCGGGTGTGTCTGGGATAGGGCCAAGAGTTGTTCGTCCCAGAATTCCAGGGCCCACCTCTGGAGTGTTGTTTGGCACGTTTTTGAGGATGGCCTGAGGGCCAGAAAAGTCAAAGGCCATGCCACTATGGCTGACGTTTTGAATGGGGTGTGCAGTAACTTAGATAGGCTCGGTAATAAGCATGCTGATAGATTTGCCAGACTAGGTGCAGGAATGCACCCCATGCCCGAGATGATGGTTCAGGCCCTCGACGCCTGCCGTGCGGTCCAAGAAGAGATCGTACGATGGGGTGCCATTAAGGATGTGATCATGGCTGATAGAGGTTGGGTGGACTCGTCTGGTTTCCCTGGGCCCGTTGAGGCTGAGAACACGGAACGTGATCCTCCCATCCTTGATAAGAATGGCCAAATTCGTAGCTATGCCAGATCAGTGCGTCAGATTTCTGCGATCTGGACCTCGAGTCGATTTTCGAGTGCCGATTTTCACTGACACGGGGGCTGATGGGCCTGGCAGTCCTGAGCAGTTGTCTGAGCTGACCTTGCTCGCCCGCCTCCAGGGGCACAACCTTTGCAAGGCGAAGGTTTTCGTGGGGGACGGGAGTCGGGCGGCGGGGAGCGGGTGGGTGGTGTCTTGCATTAGATGCGGAGGCTATGCATGGGCTGGTGTGGCCTCGCTTGCCAATAGATGCCCTGGCCACCCCCCCACTAAGGACCTCAGGCGACAGAGGACGAGGTTTGCTAAAGGAGAGTTTCCTAGCTGGGCTCGGCAGTACAAAGGGTGGTCGGTCACAGGTCACCGATCGCCCACCCCCTCGCATCTTGTGTCCCTGGTCCGTGCGTCGCACAAAGGGGTCCAGTTTTCCGGGGGGGCTGAGCCTGAGGCGTGCGATTTTGTAGATAGCCTTTGGGAGGAGAAGTGGACCCCTGTTCAGCTCCTCTCTAGATATGGCTTGATTTTGCCAGCAGAGGCTGATCAAGGTATCGTGTCCTAAGCTGTGATTGTTGCTCGGGGCGGGTGGCATTGACACCTGCCTCCATAGCGAACTGAACTGAACGGAAAGTTGCTCATCCTTACTGTACGGGTTGACTGCACCAGCCGCCCTCGCACGAGGCTCCGACGTTGCTTCACGACAGCACCCGGACATCCCGCCAAGACTCCTGCATGCCCCGTTTCGGGGATCTGCTGAACCTGATCCATCCAGACCCGGGTCAATCAGGCTCTGAAAAATACTGCAAGATCCTGCACCCAAGCCCGGGTGAATGCGACACCGGCTCTGCAGGATCCTGCAAGATCTGGAGCTCTGACTGACCCCCGTTCGCACTGACCCCCGTCTCTTGAGCCCCAACCGCTCTGATGGAAACGGGGGCCGACGGCAGAGGGCGAAGCACTCGCGGATGTGCGCCTGCGCCGAGGAAGGTGACGACGCTTGCCTCTTGGGGGTACCCTCGGAGCCATCTTGGGCCGTCTTGGGGGCCCCCGGGGCTCGACCTGAGCAGTGTTGTCCGTCTTCGTGTTGTTTTCGTTCTCCCCTCGTGTTGTCCTCGCTCCGCCCCTGCTGCGGAACGAGACCGCAACGGAAACGGTCCACGAGATCGCCAAAACACCGCTCAGGTCGAGCCCTGGGGACCTCTCGGGATGTCTTGAAGCCAGCATCGGCGCCTCGAAGCGGTCCGGGACCGTCGTGGAGGCCGCTTGGAACCTATTGGAGGCCTCCTGTGACCTTCTTGAAGCGCGGGCACCCTCCGCACGCCCAGCGGCAGCGGCAGCGGGGGCTGGAGGGGTTCGCCCGCCCCAACTATGAGGGGAAGTTCCTCCCATGGGGTCAGGACGGGGCACCCAGCGGGTCGTCAGAGGGTCCTCTTCGGACCAAGATGGCGCGGAGAGGCTCCCAGATGCCCAAATATGGGCTCCAAAATGGCTCCAGATAGACGAAAATCTGTCAAGATAGCCCCCGGCATACCCCCGAGGCCCAAAGAGGGCCACAAGACGGCCCCAAGACCGAAGAGCCCCCCTGGCACCCACGGGAACCCCCCAAAGAGGCGAAATTGATCCCAAAACCTAAAGAACAGCGGTTATGCTTGGCTTCTCGCCGTTTCACTTCAGATGGGCCTCTGAGGCCTCAAAGTGAAGAGAGCCCCAAGATGTTCAAGAGGGTCGCAAGACGGCCCCAAGAGCGCCCTAAGAGCGCCACAAGAAGGCGCCGAGAGGTGATATTCGGCCTCAGAGGGGGGAGGGCGGGGGAAGGTAATCTACGCCGCCCCCTCTTTGAGGCATGGGGCCAAAGATCGCCCCACCCCTCCGAGCCCACCCCCCACGGGCCACAAGACTCCTGAATCTATCCCCCCTGACGACGCCCCCGAACCCCAGTCACGCGGGCCAGGGAATCCTCCTGGCGAGTCTGGTGTGGCGGAGGGACGCTCATCCACTCTCTCAGGATAATTGGCGGTACTTGAACAGATCTGGCTCGGGCCGCTTCGACGAACATCTTCATACAGGCCTCTGGAGTGGTACATTCCTCTCTCTCTCTCTCTCTCTCCCTCTCTCTCTCTCTCCTGGGGCAGCAGTGCACCAAGAGCCACCGTGCTCCTGCAGTGCTGCCGACCCTTGGGCCCCCCCCGTGGGACCAGGCCGAGGCCGCCGAGGAGGAGGAGGCGAGGGGGAGAAGGGCAGCAGCGGCGCCGCCAGAAGGCGGATGGCTATATCCACCGCCGCGGGGTCGTGCCCCGAGGGATCAGGGAGCGATGGTTAGGATGGATATATTCCAACCGTTCTCAGGACCCCCGGACACAACTCCGCGGCAGTGTATATATATATATATATATATATATATATATATATATATATATATATATGTGTATGGATATGCTCTGGCCGTGGAAACAACAACAGGAAGGTCGTCCATGGTGTGCGCGCCCGCGCGCTGGCAACTTTCCCAGCTCCACGGAGCCTGAAATCCCACCAGCCCTCTGGGCGTAGGTGGTCTAGAGCAGATCCTCTTCCACCCCTCCCTCTTCCCCCTTGGGGAGGGGTTTACCCCTCCCCCTACCCCCTCCCCTGGACCTGGACGGGGGGGGCCGCGGGTAGTTAGAGCGTCCAAGATGGCCCAAGACGGCTCCAAGAGCGCCTCAGAGAACCCAAGATGAGCTCCAAGATGGCTCAAGATAGCGCAAGATCGCTCACGATGGCTCCTAAGATGGTTCCAAGAAGCCCAAAGACGGCCCCAAGATAACTCCAAGTGGCCAAACAGCTCCCCAAGGAGGCCCCGAAGAGGCCAAAATCGTCCCAAAACCTAAGGAAAATCAATGATTTTTGCTTTCTCGCCTTTTCGCTTCCGATGGCTATCCGAGGCCTGGAGATGGCTCCAAGATGGCCCAAGAGGGCCCCAAGAGAGCCCCAAAAGAGCCCCAAGACGGCCCCAAGAGCGCCCAAGAGCACTCCAAGAGCGTTCCAAGAGGGGTCCAAGAGGCGATTTTAGGGCCTTCCGAGGGGGGACGCTAATTAAACCCCCCCTCTTGTTTGATCGACTCCCTCCAAGATGGCCCCAAAAGCGCCCCGAAGGCTCCCCAGAGCGCCTCAAGAGGGTCCCAAGAGGCGCCCAAGATGCCCCAAGGCGCCCAAAAAGCCCTCCAAGAGGCCCTCAAAAGACCCCCAAGAAGCTCCTTCCCCTCCTCCTCCTCCTCCTCCGATTCTTCCTCCTTCTCCGTCCTCCTCCTCCTCCTCCTCCTCCTCCTCTTCCCCCTCCTCCTCCTCCTCCTCCTCCTCCGACGACGACGACGACGACTCCTCTTCCATCCTCCCCCTCTCGGGGTCTGTGACAGCTTCCCCCGCCCTTTGTTATTCTGCATGCTCCCCGACTTCCCTGATCACCTCAACTCCCCTGAGCATCGTTTCTGGATGGGCTGGTGGGGATACGCGAAGCGTCAACAATTTGGCCAGTTACCCTTCCCCCCGAAGCGTGGGAGGGAGAGCACAAGTGGCAACGCAACTGGAAGATGAGATACAGAGACGCAGAAAGGGACCAAGAGAGAGATGAGGAATAGAGAGAAAGAAGGAAACAAAGCGAGAGAGAGGGAGAGGGAGAGGGAGAGGGAGAGGGAGAGAGAGAGAGAGATCAACCTATTCCGACCCGCATGCCGCAGCCGCCAGGCTCTAAATATCCCCTGGGGTCTCCGGGTATCCCGCAGGACACAGCAGGACACGGCTGACGAAAACGACTGACCACGACAGAACCACGACGGGCTGGCCGCGCGGCACGAAAACGACAGGCTGCCTCTGCAGGCCAGTACGGCTGGACTGAAAAGTTACGGAGGCGCAGCCCGATCGGAGGACCCCCGCGGGGGCCGTCGGAGGCCTTCGCGGAGGCCTCTATCTTGGAGGCCTCCGCGGAGGCCTCCGGGGCCTCGCAGACCATGAGGTCCCCGGAAGTGTCCGCGGTGTCCCTGGAGAACCCAGAAGCCCTTAGGAGCCCCGGACGACGACGACGACGACGACGACGACGACGACGACGACGACGACGGCGGCGGCGACGACGCCGACGACGGCGGCGGCGACAACGACGACGACGACGACGTCGACGACGGCGGCGGCGGCGGCGGCGACGACGGCGGCGGCGGCGGCGACGACGGCGGCGGCGGCGACGACGATAACGGCGGCAGCGGCGGCGACGACGACGACGCACCCCCTGAGAAGGCGGCTGCCTTTTCTCAGCGGCCCTCCCGCGGCCGCTCCACGGGCCGCGGCCGCTTCTCGCGCTGCCGCGCCGAGCTCAGGTGGGCGATCGCGGGGACGGCCAGGGTCATCGCCAGGATGGCGAATTCCACCTGGCGCGCGGGGGCGGGTTCGATGGCGACTCGCGGGGGCCTCCCATGCCACCTCGGTGGCTCTTGCGAGCCGACGCTCGCCGACGACGCGAGTAGACGCTAATTCGATGCTATTCGGTACTAGATCGACGTTAAACGGGCGTTCCGCCTCATCGACAAGAAGAAAAAGGTCTTACGCGAGACGACACAGCGACCGTACGCGGCGGCTCACGCGGGCCGTCAGCGTGGCACGCCACATTGGAAGCAAAGGCGCTTGCGCGCGGCCTTACGCGGACAGCTTACGCCAATGTCGGCGCAAATGACCCCGTTCGTTTGCGTCGCGTCGCCCACCTGGCGCGCGCGCGCGGCCGGATGCCCTGATTAGCAGGACGCCCACCGCGACGCTCCCGGCCAGGCCCATATGGGGTCCGGGGTCGGTATTTCTGCTTGTTTTGTCGCTGACGTATGCTCGGTTTCCTCCTCC